GATAATATGTTTAAGAATTATGGGTTGTAATTTGGATGAAAATACTATACATGTTTTAGGTTTAGTTATATTTTTCAATATAATTACGTACAGGTTTTTAAAAATGAGTACGGGTTCGGGTTCAGGTCCTGCGGGTACCCGATCTCGTGTCTCGGATACCTTGATCTCAGGTACCCGAACCTTGTGAGACTGATATCGAGATAAGACGATAAAAAACCCGACGATACCGAGATCGAGATAAAGATGTCTTAAAACATCCGGGTACCCGCTCATGCCCAGCCCTATCAACCGATACTATCGTATATCCCCTTGTCTCACCCAATACCGACTCCACGTCATCCACCGGTACTAGGTTCGACTCTGCTTCTCTGTAGTAGCACTAACTCAGTTCGTCTACCGGTACTACAATAGAGACATCCACTCAAATATCAGTATTGACTCCATGCCGTTAAGCAGTACTGATGTTACACTTCTATAATAGCACATACTCCACGCAGTCAACCGGTACTATTATAGAAGCGTCCATGCAAACCAGTACTGACTTAATTCGTCCACCGATACTCGTATAGAAACCATCCACATTTTTTCACAATGCACTAGTACTGAATCAATTTGTCAACTGGTACTAGGCATTCCATCCCCCTCATCCTAGTATTGACTCCACTTCGTCAACCGATATTATGTATGAGGTTCGTTCATTGTCCAAACACATACATACATGTTTTTCCTTTTTAGCCCAGTTCGGTTTTCTCTTAGTAATTTAGTTCTCACACTCGCTTCGGCTTGAATTTCTTGCTTAGTCCCGTAAATTTCCTTGTTTTCCATATTAACTTATGAATTTTCTTTCTTTCGATTTAATTTATTATGACTTCTTTTATTAAGTCTCCACCGTGTCGGACCACCTAGTTGAATCGATCCGATCGTAACCTCGGTTTACTGGTCTTTATGTTTTGGAATCGTTTGGGTCGAATTATCCGATTTTCATCACCAGACCGATACAGTCTGATGTCAGACCGTCCGATCTAGACAAGTACTTTGGTAAGTTTCATTTCTACGCCTGGATCGGTCCATCTGTTCGTCGGACCAGTCGGTCCAGGGGGTCTGTTCTTAAATCATTATTTCTATTGTCCAGATTTTGATCCGTTTTCAATGCCAATTGCTATCCATTTATTACTAAACATCCCTAGGTCCTAAATCCTTGCATAACTACTAATTTACACCATTAAACATGATAATTGAATCTCACAAACTCAACTCAAAACCACTCACAATGTTTCAGTCCATAACTGTTTGAGCCGAGATTTTGTGCGGCGATTCTTGGTCCCACACGTCGTGAGAAGCTACGGTGCACCTTTACATATGTCCTCCTATGTGTCTCCAACCTAATGCGTGTTGATTACTCTCTTTGCCCCTCTCTTTCTCTTGTACTCTCTTTTTGTCCAAAAGTGGCTGAATTGAGAGGATGTTGTTGGATTTTTCCTATGCCTAATGCCACGGTTTCCAACATGACACTAACCTAGTTCTAGTACTATGTACAGCAGAAAAATAAATTCATAATTTATTAATCCTAGAACAGAAAAACACTAAGTTTGAAGAGAGATACTAACATTAAAAAGCAAGACTGGACCGGATGGCGACGTCAGTGTACCACTAGAAGACGTCCCAAAAGGTAACGTGATAACATGTATTTTGGGTGACGTTTTGATATAGGATGTCTAGCGTATATCACTCTATTTTACATATTTGTAGGCATTCTAGGGCACATTTGGCTTCGACATTGTATGGTTATGTTCTTTGATGTTTAAACAGGTTTTCACGCATAAAAGATCAAAAGGAGTGGAAAACATGGGCTACGGAACATCACGGATGAAACGAGAACATTTGTAGTGTTTTCAGGAAAAACGTGAAGCTCAGAAAATGTCAGAATTTGCAAGTCCAATAACTTTCACTCTACAAGTCCAAAACATACATTCTCATCATTGGAAAGCTCTTCTCAATATCTACGCATAGACACCAAGATCACCCAAATCCGATATCGGAGCAAGAAGTTATGAGCGAATTCGTGAAGCCCGTCGAAACTGCTCAGAGACACGAAACGATCGTTTCGGGATGGACAAAACGATCGGTTCGGCATCGCAGAAATTGGAAAATTGCTCAGAAAGTGCAACCGATCAGTTTGGCTTTGCCGAAACGATCGGTTCGACCCCCAGATTCGGGAAAACTTTCAATTTTGTCCAAACTGAAGGGAAATAAGAGGGGAAAGCCTCTAGGTCGAAATTCAATTCAAGCTTTACACATAGAATACACCCTAGAGCACACAAAAGGGGGCGATTATCAGGAAGCAAGAGATCGGAGTAGAAAACGGAGATCACGAAGCCGAGAAATCGACTAAGCGTTCCTTTTTCCCTCTATTTTACGATGTTTTGTTGTATTGATATGAACCCTGACGTCTCGATGTTTAGAGAGTAGTTCTTTTGCTGTAGGTTAGGGATTTGCTATGTAGGGATCTTTGGTTTCTAATTCCAGACTTTGTAGTTTTATTTATTCTATTCGGTTTATTGAGTTGCGTTTAATGCGTTTGATCTTGTTGGTCACTTGATTGAATGAACTTAGGGTTTTAATTCGTATAAACATATGGGATTCTAACCTAAATAGAACAGGTATTGCATTGAGAGATGAATATTTTCCTAGGGATTATGATAGCATTCGTTCATGCATCCAAGATTTTAGACTATTGAATCGAGAGATTAGTAGGATAAAGCCTGGATAGTGAGGTTAGACTCGAGAGGATTAATCTCTACTTTAGAGCTTGAATTCCTTGAATCGGATAGATAAACCACTGAGTTTGCATCTTTTGAAAGACCCTTGCATGTAAAGCAATCCCGAAGCCTGCATATTTTTTCATTGATAGTTTATCATTTGTTTTATTATTTACTTTTGACACATTCTCATCATTTATATTATTCTTTAGATCTACTACTGATAGGAGTTTGATTCAGTTGTCTACTTTTGTCCCTGTGTTCGACCCTAGCTATTACAATTGATCCGTATACTTGCGGTATTTGTTGAGTCTAGGTTAATATAACTTGATCGAATTTATTCGCCTAGATTTGCGACATCACAACGCCCTCTACGGTATCTACACCGCGTGTTGAATCCAACAATTGGATCTGGCCAGCTAAGGCCTAAAACTTTGTCGCTAGTCCGGAGAGGTTCCTGAGAGCTCATGGTCGTATTAGACTTCTTAAAAAGCTCTCTGGATCCCCTATAGGACTTAGGACTTGATGTGTTGAAGCCTTGAGCCAAACTTCCCTTATATAGAGTTCCAAACCCTTGAAAATGGGTAGACTTTTCGATGTGGGATTTTTACTCGGTTACTATTGTTCGACACTATTCACGGTTACTATTTACCGATAGTATTCGGCGACATTATTTACGGTTACTATTTACGGTTACTATTCACCGACACTATTCATAATAACAATTCACCGTTTTACCGAATTACATTAATTCGACTGAATTTCTACATCGTTTTATATCTCGGTTGAAACATACTAATTCAACTAAATTTGATCAAATGTGTACGATTACTCGATCGAACCGACTCTCCGCCACTTTAGATCGTTCGGTCCGATTTTCTGGATTGACCAGTCTGACCTATTTTTTTGTCTTTTTCTCAACATTGTACCTTATATTTAAACCGATTATATGTCCGTTCTATTTAATTATTTGTCTTTGAAATAATTAAATATTCGAATCGGGTTGTGAAGTATTACAGTGTAACGCAATATGTTGGCCTTTGAAGGAATCCCATGAAGCATTTAGCCAATTCAAGATGTCATCCCAAACATATGGAGAATTTTCCAACCTTAGCCAAAAAAGTCGTATAAAACTATACGCAAAAAAGAAGATGGTCCCTAGATTCAGCATCCACATAGCAGAAGACACAATTAGGATTTGAATATTTTTTTTATTTCATTTTTTGGGATAAAATTTGGGTTTTTCTTTATTCTGCATATCTGTTTTCTTCATTTTTGAAAATATATAAAAATAAATTTCGTTCTTTCTTTGTTTAAGATTGATATTACACTAGATGTTTCTGATTTTTTTTAATTCGAAAATTTACCTTTGATCTAACTGTATTTTTCAGAAAACTAAAAAAACTTAAAGTGAAAATTTCTCCCCAAATAAAAATTTGAATTTAAGTTGGAAATGAGTTTTACTCTTTCATTTTCTAATTTCTATTTTCGACGCAAGTCCTAATGAGGTAATTTTGAAAACAATTATCACATGACGTTACTTTTAGACTAATGATAGTAATACTTTTCAATATTTTTTGGTCATGGCGTACTTTTTCCAAGGGTACAGAAAACCAAAGACGTATACTTTTAGCAAATATAGACACGTAAACATATACGTTTCATCTACGTACTGCTCGATCTTGAAACGTGCATGCATGCTTTCACGTGTCACTTTCTCTTTGGTTCCCAAAATCCAATTGTCAATGATTTTTTGGTCGGTGGTCATATGGAGGAATGACTTACCCCCTAAATTACTCTTAAAACACTATATTGTAAAACTTTATATTTATGTTCAATTCAAATTATAACGATTTTACATACGATTGTGCATAAAATATGAATAATAAAGAACATGGATATCATTAAATGTTTGTATAAACACATAAAAGGTGGGGGAAAGTTTTATCTAAAATCAAATCGTGATTAACGTAATTAAATTTCATCACCAAAACGTTTTATGAAATAACGTACTTGCTTAAATTGGGCTAAAAAGAGGAAAAGTGTGAAAACAAAATTTATTAGGGACCATTACATTTGATCTGTCAATTAATGGACACGGAGTGAAATGGTTGATATGTTGCCGTCATTGACGAAGAGTTTATGTGTCCACGCACCAAACGTAACACGCACGGTGAAAATCAATCACAATAAATACCAGAGTTATTTGAAGCTTATATTCATCAACTCACCACTCCAAAACTCGGTCTCTGACTCAGCAGCGAGTTAGAAATGGCTTTTACTGTTCATCTTCTGCACTCTCTTCTTTTGACTCTTCTATTATTCACGCCTTCTTCCCACATCGAATCAGCTTCTCTATCTCTTGTCACAGACAGAGAAGCTTTGATATCGTTTAGATCAAAGTTAAGTGTTGATTCTCCAAACCCTTTCTCTTCTTGGGACAAAAACACATCTCCTTGTGATTGGACAGGCGTTTCTTGTGGCACAAGAAACCTGAGAGTGATTTCGCTGAACCTCTCTGGTTTAGGGTTCACTGGGTTTATCAGCCCGAGTATCGGCAATCTCTCTTTCCTCACATCCCTTCAACTCCAAAGAAACCGACTTTACGGTCCTATTCCCGAAGAGATCGCCAATCTTTTTCGCCTAAGGAATCTCAACTTGAGCTCAAACAGCTTAGAAGGATCGTTGCCTTCCAACACAAGCAAACTTGTCGAGCTCAAAGTCTTGGACTTGACGTCAAACAAGATCTCAGGCCCTATTCCCGTCAATATCGGCTATCTAACAAAACTTCAAGTCCTAAGCTTGGGAAAGAATCTTCTTCATGGTCCTCTCCCTCCATCTATGGCGAACCTGTCATTACTCACCGTTCTAAACCTGGACACAAACTCTCTCAACGGCCCTATTCCCGAGAGTTTGAGTCGTCTTCGCAGGCTGAAAGTTCTTGATCTGTCCATAAACAATCTCACGGGCACCATTCCTCCGTCCATTTACAACATGTCTTCTTTAGTTTCTTTGGTACTTGCCTCAAACAACTTGTGGGGTGAATTCCCTGGTAACGTGGGCTACACGTTACCGAATCTTTTAGTCTTCAACATGTGTTTCAACAAGTTCTCTGGGCGAATTCCGGCTTCTCTGCATAACCTTACGAATATAAAGGTCATCCGTATGGCACATAACCTTCTACAAGGGTCCATTCCGCCGGGTCTAGGGCGTCTTCCGTTCCTTGAAATGTATAACGTCGGCTTCAACAAGATTGTCTGGGCTGGTGATAATGGTCTGGAAGATTTCATTGTTTCGTTGACAAACAGTACTCGACTTAACTTCCTCGCGTTCGATGGGAATGATCTGGATGGCGTTCTTCCGGAGTCCATCGGAAATCTTTCCAAAGATCTCTCGAAACTTTACATGGGGGGGAACCGAATCTCGGGCAAGATTCCGGCATCCATGGCTCATCTCACTGGCTTGGCCCTTCTAAACATGAGCTACAATTCGTTATCGGGTGGCATCCCTCAAGAGATTGGAAACTTGCAGAAGTTGCAAAAGTTTGAAGTCGCAGGAAATCAACTTGTTGGGAGAATTCCCGATTCTCTTGGTAACCTTGTTGATCTTAACGACATCAATTTATCGCAAAACAATCTAGAAGGTCCAATTCCCATGTCATTCGGAAACTTCCGAGGCTTGTTGTCCATGGATCTGTCTAGTAACAGGTTAAATGGAAGCATACCGAGGGAAATTTTTAACCTCCCCAGTCTGAGTACTGTCTTGAACCTATCCAAGAACGTTCTGTCGGGTCCTATTCCTCAAGCCATAGGTCGTTTGGAAAGTCTAGTTAGCATCGATCTCTCTGATAACCGGTTATCTGGCAATATTCCTCAATCTATCCGAGGTTGTAATAGCTTGGAAAAGCTAAACATGGCCAGGAATCAGCTTACGGGTCCAATACCAGATACGTTCATAGATGTTAAAGGCTTAGAGTCTCTTGACCTTTCTTCAAACCAACTCTCTGGTTTCATTCCTCTCAACCTACAAGATCTTCATGCCCTTCGATTGTTGAACCTTTCCTTCAATAATCTCGAAGGAATGATTCCATTTTTCAGTAGCAACCTTAGTGTTCACCTGGAAGGCAATCCAAAACTATGCTTGCTAACCACTTGTCGGAAGCGTCGAAGGCATGAAAAACTCTTGAAAACGAGTATTATCGTTAGTGCAACAGCAACACTTGCAGTATGCGTGATGATTTTCTTGTTTCTCTTCTCGAGGAATAGAAAAGAAAAGCTTGTAGCTCCGGCTTCTCCGCTCAAGGAACCGTTCATAAATGTCTCATACGATGAGCTCCGAAAGGCAACCGACACTTTCAGCTCTGAAAATCTAATTGGTGCCGGAAGCTTTGGATCGGTATTCAAAGGGATCGTACGAGGAGCTTTCGTAGCGGTAAAAGTGATCGACCTCAAAACAAATGGATATTATAAGGGCTTTGTCGCAGAGTGCGAAACGCTGAGGAATGTTAGGCACCGGAATCTCGTCAAACTAATAACTTCATGTTCGAGCTTGGACTTCAAGAACGTCGAGTTTCTCGCTTTGGTTTACGAGTTCCTATGCAACGGGAGCTTGGATGATTGGATTAGCGGAAAAAGGAGAAAACCCGACGGAAACGGTCTAAATGTCGAGGAAAGGTTGAATGTGGCCATTGATATTGCATCAGCATTGGATTACTTGCACAATGACTGTGAAATTCCGGTGGTGCATTGCGATATTAAACCGAGCAACGTTCTTTTAGACGAAGAAATGGTTGCAAAGGTCGGAGATTTCGGATTAGCGAGGTTACTGGCGAACGCCATGACCAATATGGCGCCCCCTCAAGCTTCTATAAGCTCCACACATGTCTTGAAAGGCTCCATAGGTTACATTCCTCCAGGTTAGTTTTACTTACCGAAAATTGCTATACGTTTTAAAACTCGTGTTTGCATTACATTTAGATACATTGTCCGATAACTTTTTGTCCTCCTCATTGTTCGGCCTCGCAGAAAATCTGCACGGGCCGAGCACACTCTCATTGTTCGACGGAGTAACATCTTGCTTGGGCCGAGCACTTCATTAGAATAAACTGTTTTACTCCATCGAGGGACTTTATTAGAACAATTAAAATTTTGGCATAGAATGTCAGCTCGGCCCGAGCTAACTATCAGTTCGACCGACTTGTGCTCGAATTCCCAAGAAACTCGTTAAAATGTTCCAATATTTCTGTGTGTGTGTGATCCTCTAGGCTTATGAAGAAAGAGCACATAATAATAATTCAAATTCAACAAATGGATAACATTTCTTGGTGAGATGCAGAATACGGAATCGGCGAGGAGCCGTCGAAGGCGGGTGACGTGTACAGCTTCGGAGTAATGTTGCTGGAGATTTTCAGCGGCAAAAGGCCCACCCACGACAGCTTCGCCGGCGATCAGAATCTGATCGAGTGGATAAGTTCCTCCTCCGAGGATGTGGTCAAGGTGATAGATCCCCAGCTCGTGGCTTCGTCAGACGATCAGACTCCGACAAAACTCGGAACTCGGATCGATTGTCTGAAGAGTGTTTTGGAAATCGGATTGGCCTGCACTTCGTATGCTGCTAATGAACGCATGGCCATGAGAGAGGTGCTTCGCAGGCTGAAATCCACCCAGTTCTCTCTTCTCAAGCACATCTGATTGTGTGTGAAAAATACGTGTATATATATATATATATATGTGTTGTAATGAAATACCTCCTAGGTTCAATTAATATGCTGCTGATGAACGGATGAGTGAGAGGATACACATATGTACTGTACGTATATATATATATATGCGAACTTTAGATTTTAATAATTTGGAAATGATGAAATACCTCTTAGTTTCTTCATTTAAAGTTTTATTTAATATTTTAGTTTGTTAATTTGCATTACAATTAATCCAACAAGTTCGCACTAATTCAATGCAACTCGTGATTCTCTGCTTTTATAAGTTACTAGGTACTATCTCGCGCGCATCGCGCAGACTATAAATATATATAAATTTTAAAAAAATTATTATTAGTTTTAGAGTTCAATATATTATATTTTGTTTTTAAATTTATTTTTTATATCTTTAAATAAAAATTATAAATAATTTTTAAGATATTGAGTATTTTTTGGAAAAAATGACTGTGAATAACGTTTATATTTATATTTTCGTGTGTTGTATTAAAAATTTAAGAGTTGAAATATAACACTGATACTAAGCCAGTGTATTCTTTTTCTTACAAACTAAGATTTTATCATCTTTATACTTTTATTCTTTAAGTATAAAACTAAAATTATTTTATATTTGTATGCTATATATATTCTATCATAATAATAATAATAATTCGATACTCATGTGAAATCAAATCATTTTTAATTTAAATAAATATGAGTTGTAGTTTCATTTTTTTATTATTTTTTTCATTCTAATTTGATTTATTTAATCATATCGTATCCATCCTAAGATATTCGATTATGCAATGAATATGTTAAATTAATTTTTCATTTATGAAAGATCTTTTATTATTTTATAAACCATCTATGATAGGAGTTGGAGTTCAAATAAAATATTGCTTACCAAACTCAGATAGATATTATTAAGACCCATTCCTAATGATTTTTTTTCTCGGATTATATACTTCGAGTCAGAATTTGATAAATTTTGGGAAAAATATTCAAAATAACAATCCAATGACTTTCAAGGGATCTTTACCAATAAAATTAACATTTTACATTACATTCCCTTAAAACTTTAATAGTTTTTATGGTTTTCGTTAGAATTATTTTAAATTTTTAAGAGTTAACGTAAATATCAATAGGAAAACTATTTATCGTTTCTTGATAATATTTATCAAAATCAAAACATTAATAGTCATAGTGAAATTTATGTATTTATTTGATAGTTTTAAATCGATATATATATATATATATATATTATATATATAACATTTGTCATTTTTAACCCTATTGCTGACGTGACGTTCCGATATCGTGACACGTGGACGGTGATGTGTCAAATACGGTCAAAGTATTGACTTGCCACGTAGGATGTCGGAAATATCACGTCAACAATAGGGTTAAAAATGATAATGATTATAAAGTTCAGGTTTATTTTAGACTGAAAAATGAAGTTGAGGTTTTATTTGATAAAAAACAAAGTTTAGGTTTTATTTTATGAAAATTGAAAAGTTCAAGTATTGTTTTGGGATATTCCCTGAATAAAAAAACCAAGATTATGCCATATTTATTTGATATGTATATTTTATCACAATAATATTGATTTAACAACCCGTATGAATTCAAACCACTTTTAATTTAAATAAATATAAATCGGAATCTCAGTTATTCGAATATTTCATTTAGTTCGACATATATTTTATTAAATTTATTTCGTATTATTATTATCATCTTAATTTGGTTTATTTGATCATCTATATATCATTCTAAGATATTTGATTATGCGATTAAGCAGTTGATGTGAGTTGAAGTTTCAAATAAAATGTCACATCTCAAACCGAGACACACTCTAATAGAACTCGTTCCGTATGACCTTTTATTCGAAGTATACACTTTAAGACCAAAATTGTTAAGTTTCTGCAAAATTATTAAAATAAAAATCCAATGACATATAGAGAATCCTTACGTAACCAAACTAAAATTTTACATTATATCTCATCCAAATTTTAATAGTTTCTACAGTTTTCGTTAGACCCATTTGAAATTTATAAAAGTTAATGCAAATGTCAATAGAAAAACTACTTATCATATCTTGATAATTATCTTTATAATTGTTTCCATCTAATAAAATAAAATAAAATGGACAAATATACTTAGTTGTTACATAAATTATTTAAGTGGATAACGACCAATACTCAAATGTTTTCTTTGAAAATCACTCACTATAATATGATTTGTGATTAGACTCTTTATTTGTAATTCTAGTAACAAACAAATATTAAAAGTGATTAATCAATTATCTGTTCCGATTTATCTATCCTTTATACTTTTTCAAATTTACGACCAAATATAAAATAATTAAATTCTATTTTTTTTCATGAACCTTTTAATTTTAACATTTTTTATGTTCACTTAATAAATAAAGTATTTAATGATAACTATTGTATTTCGCAATATGAGAAATATAAATAAAATATTTTTTGGTTAAATTAGTCGGTTTATTCCGGATGATAGGAGCTGAATTTTAAATAAAACGTCAATTACCAAACTGAGTCAAACTGTAATAGGACTCGTCCCAAATGATATTTCACTCGAATTATACAATTCAATTTCTATGTCGATAAATCTCTGAAAAAACTTCAAAATAAAAACCTAATAACATTTCACATTATATTTGATTTAAATCTTAATAATTTTTATGGTTTTCGTTATACTCATTTTAAATTTATAAGAGTTAACAGGAAAATTATTTATCATATCTTGACGATATTTGTCAAAAAATTGAAATGTTAATAACCATAGTGAAATTTATATATTTACTTGATATTTTTAAATTGATATATTTTTTTATTAATATTATAATATTTTGTATAATTTTACGTTTTTTGTAAAAAGTGAAAGATTTTTATTTTCTAATTAACAAATAAAAAAACCTATATTAGAGAAAAAATAATTGTTTTGAATAGAATTTTATTTAGATTATAAATATCTAAATAAAATTTTTGTAAAATAATTAATGAAATTATTAAATTTTTATAAACAGTAAATAGTATTTTATAATTATCAAGAACTGATAATTATATAATTTTAGAAAATAGAATAAATTTATAATGTTTCATAAATATAAATAGAATTTTTATAATAATTTCATATAGTGGCTCTTCACAATACCTATACGGTTCTTTAAAACTTAGCTTTCGTGTAAAATAGAAACAATAACCGTGTTGACAAATGAAAACTTATATTTTTCTAATCCATGACCCAAATATTTTGAGGATTCTTCTGACCAAAGAAAAATATATAATTGTCAACAAAATTGTTTCTTTTTTTTCCCTTCAAATCCAAAGAACTCTTATTATTTTATACGTAGGTTATTAATTCTGCATTATAAAAAAAAGGATTCAAATCATTTTATCGATGATCTATTTAACTTCATTACAAAATCGTTAGAGAATTTATTATTTATTATATCATGAAAACCAAATTTAACAAATTACATGTTGAATTAAAATGAAAAGACTCAACTAATTAAGTAAAATTACTATCATTTACATGATCTTGAAACCCACCAACTCGATCTCCATTAAAACCTCTCTTTCATCTTCTTCCTTTTTTTTCGTGTTGAAATTATCATCGGCAATGCCGTCCTCTTTCGCTTTCAAGTCATTCATCGGATCCACCAAACCCAATTCATCTCTGGATTCATCTCTTCCTCCGGAACTTCGTCGTTTCTCTGCTCCCGTCGTTCAAATCGTCCTCCGTACTCGAACCCGGAAAAATCTGCGTAAGGGTCTCTGTATATCTGATTTCGTTATTGATTCCTTTTAATATTGTTACCATTGTTTATATGTAGCTGCAAACTCATCTTCCAAAAACTCTCCATATCCATTTTCAGAGGAACGTTTGTGAACTAAAAACCAAAGTCATGAACTTTTCCATTTCAATCTTAGTTCAAAGTTAACTCGTGTAAAATAGAAACAATAACCGTGTTGACAAATGAAAACCTATATTTTTCTAATCCATGACCCAAATATTTTGAGGATTCTTCTGACCAAAGAAAAATATATAATTGTCAACAAAATTGTTTCTTTTTTTTCCCTTCAAATCCAAAGAACTCTTATTATTTTATACGTAGGTTATTAATTCTGCATTATAAAAAAAAGGATTCAAATCATTTTATCGATGATCTATTTAACTTCATTACAAAATCGTTAGAGAATTTATTATTTATTATATCATGAAAACCAAATTTAACAAATTACATGTTGAATTAAAATGAAAAGACTCAACTAATTAAGTAAAATTACTATCATTTACATGATCTTGAAACCCACCAACTCGATCTCCATTAAAACCTCTCTTTCATCTTCTTCCTTTTTTTTCGTGTTGAAATTATCATCGGCAATGCCGTCCTCTTTCGCTTTCAAGTCATTCATCGGATCCACCAAACCCAATTCATCTCTGGATTCATCTCTTCCTCCGGAACTTCGTCGTTTCTCTGCTCCCGTCGTTCAAATCGTCCTCCGTACTCGAACCCGGAAAAATCTGCGTAAGGGTCTCTGTATATCTGATTTCGTTATTGATTCCTTTTAATATTGTTACCATTGTTTATATGTAGCTGCAAACTCATCTTCCAAAAACTCTCCATATCCATTTTCAGAGGAACGTTTGTGAACTAAAAACCAAAGTCATGAACTTTTCCATTTCAATCTTAGTTCAAAGTTAACTCAGGTAAGACATTCCTAGAATAGATAAATTCAGACATGAAAAATTCAGGAATAACATAAAATATTTGACAGAAAAGAATCAATTACAGAAAATTGAGGAATGGTTCTGATCACCTTTTGAGAAATCATGGGTTACAGGGAGAATTTCACCATTTTTTAAGCGGACCAAGCAATTGGACACCGGAGAAACTCTTTTCGAGCGACCAAACCCACTTTCGCTTCCTATCTTCGTTCAATTTCGCAATCTCCATAGACAATTTTTTTTATATATATAGAAATTTAATTTAGATACATAAAAAGAACCATAAAATCATATAGATAAATTAATTAACAAATTTTGATGAATGGTAAGAGAATCAATATAAATATTTATCGAAATTTATAAAGTAGTTTAACCGAACCAAATTCAATGTAGAAAAATTTGGTGAATACAATAAAATGATTGAATGCATGTATCTTTATTTTTAAATAAAAATAGGTATATTAAAAACTCGCTTATTAAAAACCTATTGAAGGAAGCGTCGTCTATTTTTTTTAAAATAATAATATATTTAATAAATGCAAAAATATAATTAGGAAAATTAAATATATATGGATATTAGATATATGAACATCTGTATATAAATGTATATATACAACAAAAATCTTTTATATTTTAATAGGAATTTTTAAATTAAATTAATGCATTAAATAGAGAGTCTATTTTGAAATGAAAAAAATTATTAAGTGTATGAAAAACAAACGTTTTCTCGACACATAGGCAAATTATATGCATGCACGGCAAAATTTGAAACCAAATCCGCATTCGTTATTGATTCCTTTTAATGTTGTTACCATTGTTTATATGTAGCTGCAAACTCATCTTCCAAAAACTCTCCATATCCATTTTCAGAGAAACGTTTGTGAACTAAAAACCAAAGTCATGAACTTTTCCATTTCAATCTTAGTTCAAAGTTAACTCAGGTAAGACATTCCTAGAATAGATAAATTCAGACATGAAAAATTCAGGAATAACATAAAATATTTGACAGAAAAGAATCAATTACAGAAAATTGAGGAATGGTTCTGATCACCTTTTGAGAAATCATGGGTTACAGGGAGAATTTCACCATTTTTTAAGCGGACCAAGCAATTGGACACCGGAGAAACTCTTTTCGAGCGACCAAACCCACTTTCGCTTCCTATCTTCGTTCAATTTCGCAATCTCCATAGACAATTTTTTTTATATATATAGAAATTTAATTTAGATACATAAAAAGAACCATAAAATCATATAGATAAATTAATTAACAAATTTTGATGAATGGTAAGAGAATCAATATAAATATTTATCGAAATTTATAAAGTAGTTTAACCGAACCAAATTCAATGTAGAAAAATTTGGTGAATACAATAAAATGATTGAATGCATGTATCTTTATTTTTAAATAAAAATAGGTATATTAAAAACTCGCTTATTAAAAACCTATTGAAGGAAGCGTCGTCTATTTTTTTTAAAATAATAATATATTTAATAAATGCAAAAATATAATTAGGAAAATTAAATATATATGGATATTAGATATATGAACATCTGTATATAAATGTATATATACAACAAAAATCTTTTATATTTTAATAGGAATTTTTAAATTAAATTAATGCATTAAATAGAGAGTCTATTTTGAAATGAAAAAAATTATTAAGTGTATGAAAAACAAACGTTTTCTCGACACATAGGCAAATTATATGCATGCACGGCAAAATTTGAAACCAAATCCGCATAGAAACTTTTAAAAAATTATATATAAACTTTTCCGTGTGGACCTATATCAATTTCTGTTTTTATTTTTTTTTTCATATTTTTCTTTTTGTTTTTGCAAATGTTTCTGCTCTCCAAGGTTGAGAATAATAAACTCTTTTGGACCACTTTGTAAAACACATAATAATATTTCAAAAACCAAACACATGTTTATATATTAAATTTTAGTCACTAAAAAATAGATAAATAATTCTGTAAAGAAAAAAATATAACATACATATACAGACATTCCAAATGCGATTGACACAATCAAAATATAAGAAGTGGGATCAAAAGGATAAGAACAAAATATATTAAAACTAAAAACGGATTGCAAACCTGAATGAATTGGAATTGGAATGGAGCATTGCATTGCATGTTAACGAACATGAGAGTATAGAAACTATTTATAGTTTACAATTAATTAATGGTTGTAAATATTGTTCAATGAATTCAAAAACTAAAATTAACTATTCATTAATAAAGTTATAAGGGAGGAAGGCAACGTCAATTTTTGAGTAGATAGTTTTCTGAAAACTATAGTCATATTAATGCAATTATTTGAAAAACCTTTAAAATTCCAATTAAAGACATAAAGACACGTGTCACCCTCTGGTGGAAAGGCCTAACTAAATGAAATAAACTACACTGATTAGGTTATATTTATTTATTTGCTTAGTACATTTGTTGAAAATTTTGGAGGGAAGCACAAGGCCCATGAGACAAAATGCACCAAATCTGAAATATGTTTTTTAAAAACCAAAACTTTGGGATACACCCGGGAACTCGCAAATCAATATTATAATTATTTTAATTACCAAAACTATATTCCCCAGATTTTGGCTCTAAGCCTCAATTATTTCAATTTCTCCCAAATTTTTTTCAAGTGGTTTCGCAGCAAAGGCATCCGAATCCAAAGCGGAAGAATTTGCACAGAGCGCCATTCCTTTTCCACAAAATCTCTCCAATGGCGCGCCTTCTTCTTCTTCTCTTCCCCTTTTATCTTCTCCTTCACAACCCTTCTTCGTCTCTCACCTCCTCCTTCCATTTCGCTCTTCTCTCCCCTCTCTCGCTCCCACAGCTCGAGCCTTTTCATCTGAAATGGCCGGCCAAGGGAACGCTTGCCTTAGGATCACACGGGGCGTTAAGAAGAGGTCCGCTTCGATGGCGGCCATGGCGTCGGAGGATGAGCGTCCGGTGGGGAAGAAAAGGGTTGTGTTGGGTGAGCTCAAGCATTTTGCGAACATTGTTGTTTCTATGAAGCCTGCTCTGGGGAAGGAGACCCAGAAGCCGAAGGGTAAGGTTAAGGGCAAGACAGCGAAGGCAAAGAAGGTACTGATTCCGGCGACGGAGGAGGATGAATCGGCGGCTACTGACAATCCCCAAATGTGCGCGGCTTATGCTAAGGACATCTTCGAGTATTTGTATAAAATGGAGGTAATTGGATCTCTCTTTGCTCTGATTTACCTCGTCGATCATAAGGGCATTCGCTGTTCTTTTCTGTTTGAGATCTGATTCGTCGACTAGGGTTATGGTTGGATATGCTAGCAATAACTAAGACAAATTTTGCATTGGATCCTGAACTTAGATTAGCTGTGAGTGTCTGTGTCCGAACTTGGTGGAGTGATGATAAGAAGTTTGCAAATGGGTAAATCGTTCTCTTCATAGTTGCAGGCTAATGAAACTCGTGATTTATGTATATGTTTAGGCCGAACCTAAGAGAAGGCCTTCTCAAAGTTATCTGGAGAAGGTTCAGACAGAAGTGAATGCCAACATGAGAGGAGTTTTGGTGGACTGGTTGGTGGAAGTTGCAGAGGAATACCGGCTCCCAGCCGACACTCTCTATCTCACCGTTAACTACATCGATAGATGCCTGTCTCACAAACCGCTTGAACGGAAGAAGCTTCAACTCCTCGGTGTCACCTCCATGCTTATCGCCTCGTAAGCTTCTCGATCTCTCGACTCGACTCACATTGGTTCAGAATGGTGCTTACCATGTTCTGTTTCGTGTCGGGGCTTGCAGAAAGTACGAAGAGATCAAGCCTCCAAACGTGGACGATTTTTGCTATATAACCGACAATACGTACACGGCCGAAGACGTCGTGAAGATGGAGGCCGACATACTTTCATGGCTGAAATTTGAATTGGGTAGCCCGACAGCTATCACATTTTTGAGGTCAGAATCCTTTCGATGAACAAAGCTCGTCTATGTAGCGCGACTGTACCGAGTCCATACAGTTAAAAACCGGGTGTTTCTTCTGTCTAATCTTTGTCTATCGTGTCGGGTTTGCTGGTTTAACAGGCGGTTCGTCAAGGTCTCACTGGAGGGTTCTCACAATGTAAGCCAAATTCCTTACTGGGTTTTTGAAGGGTCGATCGACAAATTTAGTGTAACTAAATTGTACCTTCTGTATCGATATATTCGGAATGTTCTTTTGCAGAATTCCAACTCTCGGCTCGAGTTCTTGGCTCATTATCTCGCGGAGTTGAGTTTGTTAGATTACGAGTGTCTAAAATTCCCGCCTTCTCTCGTTGCCGCATCTGCCATGTTTCTGGCAAGATTCATAATCCGGCCAAAGACGCATCCTTGGGTGAGCCATCGACCTCAGTTCCCGGCCCGAAAAGTATATTTTTCTCCGATTTTCTCATCTCGGGTCCACAAATTCGCCTAACTAACTCGCCTCTCTGCAGACACAGGAGCTTCAACAGAGCACGAAATATCGACCGGCCGAGGTAAAACAATGTGCCCTCATCTTACACGACCTATATCTCAGAAGACGAGGGCGCGGTCTGCAGGCTGTAAGAGAGAAATACAGTCAATATAAGGTAATGCACAAGTCTTTGAAGTCGGCATGTATACATACACACATATATATATGTATAGATACATACGATCTTGCTCTGAAAAGTGAAAAGGTCGTCTTTCTCACTCGTTCCCTCTCTGATTCACTTTCTTGAAACAGTTCGAGTCTGTAGCCAACACTCCCTCGCCGCCATTGATGCCAGAATCATTCTTCGACGATATCATATGGTGAAAAGCCTGGGATTTGTCATCTGGGTGTCTGCATTTGTAAAGCCGTTGCACAAATAGTATCAAGGGCGAGCCTGGAATCCAATCAAAGTTCACTTTTTTTTTTAATAATTTCTGAGATGAATGAATAAAGTTTTGATTTTGTTCTTTGTATTAGTGCATCCAATAAATACGCCACGAAAAAATGAAAAGCCTTTTTTTTATATAAAAAAAGTGACTAATAAATTTCGCTCGTTAACAAGTTGTTTTGACGTTTGATATCTTAAAATATAGAAATTAGGACAGAAAATTTATATATTTTGTCACATTCACACATCATTCAAGAAGCAAATATACATATATTTAGAAGGCCATTTTAGTATGATCAAGTATAAAGTAGGGGTGGTTATTTCAGTATTTGGTTTGAGAATTGTTCGGTTCGGTTTTTTCGGTTTTACCAAAATATGTATCCATTGATTATTATTATTTTTTTATTTGTTCGGTTTTGATTTCTGTTCGGTTCAATTTTTATTAAAAAAATTAGATTTTTTTTAACAAATTTAAGGTTTTAAAAAATCGATCCAACTCAGTTTCGTTTTTTAAAAATTCGATTTTCTGAAAGAGTTATCTTTTGAAAACTTTGGATGATTCAATTATATCACATTTTTCACTTGAATAAAATTCGAAATTATCGTAACGAAACGGACCCTAATAACGATGACGTATTGTCTTCTGCTGCAATTTCAGAGAGAGCATTATCCAAAATATCCTCTTTTTGCTAAAACTACTTCTGCACATATCTTCTTCCATATGTGACTATGTGACTAGAATAATCGTATGGTCACATGATGGTCATATTGGTTATAATGTTAAATTTATGGTGATCACATCAAATCATAATGATTACACCTTATATATTGCACTAATTAATTGGTTAAATCATCATAAATTTGACATTATGATTCATGTGACCATAAAATTATTCTGATCACATTATATCTGGAGGAAGATATACGGAGAAGTAGTTTTAGAAGAAGAGGTTCTGATAATTATATCTAAAAATAACATAACAAAGAGGAAGAAAAAAAAAAAAAGAGGAGCAAAGAATGATGGGTCCATTCCATTGGGCGAAGGAAGCTCACATTTCTTCCGAAATGACAACTCAATACACAAATATTCTTTTTAGGAGATTTGGAGAATATTTTCTTCCTCTTTGGGTCTTTACGTAAAATTAAGGTCAAAATTCAAGCCTCCATTGCTTTCTACACTTATGGATGAAATAATTCAAGTCTTGTCCTTGTTTTGTGATGATCATGGCTTGGCATGATGATATTTCTCATGTCAATTATTTTTTGTTTTCTCTTTTTTAAAATTTGTGAAAATGTTTATTCGTTTTATGCAGTTTTTTATTCTAATTTATTTGGTACATTTGAATTAAAATTATCTATTTACAAAATTATTTGTTTTGTTGTTTTCATATCTTTTTATTTTATTTCGATTTATATTCAATTCATTTATTTTTATAAAAAAATTAAATTTTAATATTTTTAAATCAAAATTACATCCATATTATTATATTGTTTTAAATGGAAATGTTCACCCATTGAATTTGTCAAATCATGTCGTGCTATTAGCCTTCCACCATCTCCTAAAATCCATGTATTTTTTCCAAATCCGTGAGTTTATGAGAAATTAACGTTACTTAAAACAATGTTCTTAAGCATTGATATCATATATATATATATATATATATATATATCCTAATTTCATTATTTGTGATATGGTTTATATGTGAATACAATCACATTTGAATGTTTTCTTTAAAAGCCCTGGATAATACACACACACATATACACACACATATATATATATATATATATATATATATATATATATATAT